ATGGGAGGATTGGACAGCTATAGGGGAGGTCAGGGGGCCATTTATGTGTTTGACGATTTTGGTCAGTGAAAAACATGAATTGGTCAGTGAAAAGTCAGGGAAAAGTCAGGGAATTTTATTTCACCAAAGTGCTGGCAACCCTGAATGAATATTTCCTTTTCAGAAAGAGCAAAACATGATTTTTATTACTTTAGATTATTTTAGAACATGTTAGTTGTTTACCACCTAAAGAAAGTAGTGCTGAATGTGAATTTATTTGTCACAAAAGTAACAACATGTAAAGAAAGTATTTTGACTTCCATACAAAATATTAAATCACTATATTTACACTAATTGCCAAAAGGCACCTGAAGCAAAAGATAGTTAAAGTAATTAGCAAATAAGTAACTTTCTGGAAACTATAACAAGACACCAAAAAAAACAAAAATGTCTGAGATATAAAATAAAAGAATTTCTGGGGCATAATGGGCATTTAAGGCGTATCGTAAATTTAAATATGTTGCATATTTTGTTTGCCCTTTTTACATATATCGGTTTGGATGTCATTTATCAGTTGTAAAATCTCCATACATCGTATTTTATATCTCAGTATTTAAACATCAAACTATTTAAACATCAAAATGAATTTTTGCCCTCTTCATTACTATGTTATCAAATAAATTTTACTAAAAAGGAGCTGTCAAAAGTTTGTATTCCTACGCGTATCAGTTCTATTTACATAATGCTTTTAAATACTATATATATCAATGATAACGATATGATAGTGTTGTTTGTCGTTTAAATGTGTGGTATCTAAAAGTAATTTAAACTTATGTTAAACGTTTGAAGTTACCTTGGAGACAAAGCGTTGGTGTGCGCGTGCTTGTCACGAGGCGTCTGACCTTATAGTCCTACCTCATTTAAACATGGAATTTGTATGTAAGCATTTAATAGAATGATGCGATTATACAATGTCATACAGAAATGCAATTTTATATTTTTGATCCGAGTTCGTAACTATTCTGTAGGAATTCACCTAGCAACACTCGCCGGCATTGTCATTATATTTCTTGTTTTATTACAAAAACGACATGGACAAATCATACCCACGTGCAGGTACAATGCCTCTACTTAAGTCGCGTGTTTCTTATAATACCTTATCCCACCTTTGTGGATTGAATATAAAACATAAATTGCACTTTAACGACCTCTTGGATCGGGCTTTTATAGTAGAATTAACCCAAATCACAAAAGACGAAACGAATTTTTATGAATTACAAATTTTCTGATCTTGGGCTTTTGCTTAAACTTTTTCTTGCATATCAAAAACTTTCAAAAACGGTCTAATGAACCATTCAAAACGGCGGTAAAAGATTTTAGCTCTCGTACCTAACATTCAATTTCGACGCTGGGATAACGCAAGGATGACTCCTTAAAGCCTTAATATTCATATGTTACTTTTTATGTCCCCATGTAAAACAGCAACGGTGCGGGCAGATGTCTTTACCGAGCGTTATTAAAGAAAAATCAAATTAGTTTCTTAAGACATTCTCTTTAATTGCAGACTGACGTGCATTTGAATTTGCAGTTGGGGTTATTTTTTTTTTATATCTCATCCCTTTTTTTACCTGGTGATGTTTGTAATATGGAAAGTGAGGCTTAAATAAGAAGAATTACAAGATTCTTGATTAGATATTTTATATAATTATAAAACAGATATTTTACGTTTTTATAATGACGATGCAATTTTTGACATGTCTCATTTTAAGTTCCGCATGAATGTAAATATTTATAGGTGTCCACACGGAATTGTATAAAAATCCCGTTTCAAACAAGCATGTAAATATTTTTTCTTTCTGTTCCAATTGTTTTCAAAAAAAAAAATCAATAAATAAATATATAAAATAACTTAAAATTAAATACTGAAAAGGAAATAAAAAACAACTAAAACATCAGAAAAGAAACATTAAATAGCACAAAAACATTACATCTCACAAAAACTTATGTGTTAAAGTAAAAAACCATATTATCTGACAATATCAAAAAGAACAAAATTCAATCTATGTACCACTACTTATTACTAGATATCTTATTCTGTTACAGTTCAGTAAAATATACACTTTGGCCTTAATCAACACCACTGTATAGGTTATGTATCTTTTCCCTGGAAACACATACATGAATAAAAAAATATTGGAATTTCATCTTGCTTGATTGCATTGTTAACATTAAGTTAAAATATACAGGACAGAGACACAGTTTTTGTCAGCAGACTTCAACAAAATGTTGCAAAAATGTGGCTAAGGTTTCGTTTAAGATATGGGTATAAAAAGAACCATTCAATACTGATGTTGAAGTTCTTTATTTTCAAAAGTCTAAGAGATACAAAGATAAGATTTTGTGTAGCGTCCTTGCGATATATCAAAGGGAGTTTTGTACACGCAGTGTCGCCATATTGCGGTCTTTTCTTTCATCTTTTAGATCTAATATCATTAAGAACTTCGGGAAATATAGATCATTTTAAATTAATACTGTCAACATGACTATACGTTCTGTGCATAGTAATAAATAAAATGTAATTATATATAAAAAGATGATGGAAAAAATATACAAATTATCAACAAAGAGTGAACAGGTTTACAGGAAATTTGATATATTTTGTTTAATTGTAAAGCATTGTTAAAACTGATGGTAGAACGGACATATTGTCCTGTGCAGCGACAGATAACATCATTTATGACTTGAACAAAGTGGCGGACGATACAGATTTAGATTCAGGATATATCCTTGAGACCGGGAGGCCGTATCAAGATTTATTTTTAGCTAACGAGAAAATGATGCGTTGTTATCCGAAACGCCGTTTTAATAAGTCGCTTAGATCTGCATCTTATTTTTTCTGATGCAGACCTTGAAATTATACTAGTGTCCTGAAATCAAATACAGTCTGGAGTGACGAATAATATATTAATTTTGTTGCCTATGTATTTTCGTATACAGTTTTCCTAAATTGATTTTGAAATGAATTTTAATTTTAATTGATATATGTCTGCTCGTAATGAGGAGTTGTGGTCTAGTGACTAAAATATTTGTCTTTTATGAACTCCATTGTGAGTACCAGCCATTAATTGGGTTACAACTATTTTTTCTGAAAATAACTTTACCTTTAAGTTTAATAAATTAATAAACTGAAATATACTGATTCAGAAACTTTTTTTATAATGGACATGTAGACATTTTATATATGCTATCTTCTTAGTCAGCATCCCATCAGATTCATGATTTTTTTTAAAAAATGCATTTAAAAGAAAAATATTGTGAACTGACCAAAGAAAATAATTTACATATCACAACAGCTCTAGCAATCCACACAGGTCAAAATAAGGAAAAATAGCCGTTATTGCGTTAATCACGCAGTAGAAATTTGGTGATAAAAACTGTTAAATCAATCTTTAATCGCACATAACATAAAATTATTACTTAAAATTTAAATTTATAACCGTCCGTAGCCCATAATAATATTTCACATTTTCATTTATATTATTTTCATCTATTGACAACACTAATTTTAATCAGAATACATGATTTAGTTTAAGAAGCATGGAAAATATCAAATCAAGTATATTATATTTAGATTTTGTAATTTTAAAAACATCATTGCCTGAATAAAATATTAATTATCAAAGTTAAAAAAAAAGTAGCACACACAGATAAATATATCAAACGTCGCCTATTAGTATTTTATGATGAGTAACTTTAAAGGAATATAATATTATTTAAATTACAACTGGCAATGTGTTATTTCATAAGTCGAAACCGAATTTTTAACTTATTTTCTTTTCAATATTTCTTATCAGATTGTTCATTGAGCTTGACATATTTATTGTTATGTGTTTAATTCATGCTAATTGATTTTTAATTGATAGTTTATGATAAAATCACCTACACAGTCTGACTGCCTGTTAATAATTTAAATGTCTACCAAACCAAAAAACTTTCAATCATTGCTTTATGGTTTGTAAAAATAGTTTATTATTAAATATCAGTTTATCACAGTGATACATGTTTAAGAATAACAGCGGAGGTAAATCTTCAACTATGTCAAAATTTTGTTAACACAAGTTACCTCCCTTGATAGGATCAGATATTTTTTCGATATGACCCTTAGATATTTTTATCACTAAAGCTATAAAACACACAATTCAGCATGTTTGTTTATGTCTTTATGCATACCAACTCTTCCAAATTACAGCTTAACAAAAGTGCTTAACAACACCAATATGTTACAGCCGCTTTTTGATAAACTTCCTCAAGACTTTTGGTTCTTTCCGAAGAGGATACTTTTCAGCTAGCTGAAAGAATGTCGTCGTTCTGCACAGATATTGGGTCATACCCGGCATAACAAAGTTAAGGTCTTCCTCCACCCGTAAATGAAGAAGGTCTTTTTTTGAACTTTTGTTGCCATGACTTATCATCACTCTACAAGAATCATCTGTCAGCTAGCTTTTAAATAATTGAAACGAATCTTTAAGTCATTTTTTATAATTAAATACATGCAAAAAATACTGAAGCGTTTAGTTCGTTATCAAAAGAAGTTATATAATACAGTTTTCACTCAAAGGTATGAATTAATTGGCAAGTCTTTCTTATCGCAGCATATTGAACATATATATTCTACCTCTTTTGCACTCTATGCTTATTTAAGAGACTTCACTAAGTTTTTATGACTTGATGGGACTGGAAATAAGGTTTCGATATCAATATTTTATTTGATGCAGGCGTAGACCAAAAACGTGTGTGCAAAATGCTCACTCGTTAATGAAAAATGACTCAAAAGCGCTGCAACGCTTTTCACTCATATCTGGTTTAGAATTGAACACAAATAACGATTTTTAATTAATTTTTTAGTATATTTCTTAATTATCTTTTGCATATCTCTCTGTGTTAAGTACCTCAGCTGATCAATGCAAGAAATAAAGATTCAATGTTTTAATGTGTTTGAACATCAGTGAATACAAAAATGCTATCATTTATTTTTATTTCACAACATAACATATACAACAATGAGTAAGGAACATCGATACATATGATTTCAAATAAAATCATCAATAAAGTAAACGGATCCAAAAAAATTACTTCTCTGTCGAAATACAGTCCATCTCATTCTTTGTTAAAACATAGACGATGTTTCTTCTTTATACTATAAAATAAGGCAATAGAGTGTATACCACACTGGTTTAAATGACTTGTAGTTTATCACTCATAACCTCTTCCAAAATTCTATTTTACTTTGTTCCGTCCGTCCATTGTTTTCTCGTTAAGGGAAAAACATCTTTTTACATTGCCTGTTTCTAAATTCAAAATACACCATTTCATGCTCAAAGGGCCTATAAAATTTTAAAATTTGCTATTTTGGACGTTCTTTAAGGACTATATAGATAATGCTTTTGCAATTATACACGCTGGCGCATCTGAACTGCAACAGAATATTTACTTACGTTTTTATACTATTGTTTGATAACGTATGAACGTTTTTTAACCCAGTTTTAGAATAGAGGAACTTGTTATTTAATTTGTCTTTAGTGAAAGTCTTTGATATGAATAAAGAGCATTTCGGTTGTCTTTGACATTTTGAACATCTACACAAAACGAACGTTAGAATTATGATTTCGACAGGTCATCTATTTCAAATACCTTAACTATGCTCCTATCAGCTGATTTGTTCGCAGGATTAAACTGTGTAACGACTAGCCTTGTTCCAAGAATGGACAAAATACGTGGATGCTCCAAATTATCTACAATTACATTTCGAAGAAATTTACCACTTAATGAAATTTGAAAAATCTTATTCAGAGTCCAGTGCGTTGCTAGAATAATGCCATCAAAGTAACAAACATCTTCGATGGAATGTCCACGACTATCTCGCTCACTCTCAGGGAAATCTTCGTTCGTAAACAGCCACTGAAATTTTCCTTTAAAATTGATACAGCGTAGTCCACGTCGCTCATTCACGTATATTTGTCGATCTTTATCGTTAACGTCAAAGTAACGCAAGTAGCCAAGTTCCGGTGACACGCCGGATCTTATTACATTCAACTCTTGTCCATCAAGACCAATCACGTGTACATTATTTTCGTCACATACAACGAAAAGTTTTGAGGATTTGCAAGTTACTTGCCAAAGGTAGGAATCACATTTCATTCTTATCGATCGTTGATAGAATAGCTTCGTTTTGTTGATCCGAAATATTGCTAGCTGCCCAGTGCGGCGTAGTGTTACAACCACGTGATTATCATTCAGCTTACTCAAGCCTATTGGATATGAACATACCTTCTCATCGAGGCTTTTAAATTCCTCTGAAAACAGCTGTATACTGTTGTGATAGTGGTCAATGAGTACAATATTCATGTTGGCCATGATCGTAATATCTGGTACAACGCATGCAGTCCTATGTTTATATGTGTGAAACTGACCAACATATCTGGCTAAACAATTGTTCGCTGAAATGTTCAAAACTTTATCCTTTACATTCAGAACGTCGAGCTCCTTTCCCATGTTTTCCAGTACGGCATTTGATCCTTTAACATAGTCAGCATCGTAGAAGTTGTTATCAGATATAGAAGACATTGAGCTTGAACACCAGCTTTGCTCGTCGAGTATACGGTAGCCTATACGCTGACAATATGGTAAAACAAGCTTCTTCTTCTCGGTCTCTTCTGTGGAATAATAACACGAGCTAGTTTCAGAATCCTTTGAGTCAATCCTATATCGACCAAGACGAGAAACTGACAGCAATGACTCCGCTATGTCAAGGTCACCTTCAAAATCAATAGCAGTGTCTTGAAGAAGGGATTCTATATTTAGAGAATCTACATATTTTGTACCTTGATCAATGTCTCTGTCAGAATAGGATCCTTTTGAAAACCTGTGGATACATATAGATACATTAAATATAGTGTTTATGTATTTAATAAAGACGTTTATTGCATTTAATCTTCAACTTTAAATGTAGTGCCTAGATAATACGTTATACTTCTGATTATAACTTATATTATTTACAAAATCAAGATGTATAATATTCAATAATCAATCAATAATTGATTCCCTAACAATGCTAAATGACCCTGTGTTAAGATAATGCATTGTGTATATGTGGATTTGCCAAAACCGAAAAATGCAAGTTAGTTGTTAAGGAAATAGTATGCGCGCAGATATCTTTCACGACTCTATTTCATGTAATCTAAGTAAAGCAGTCCGCGTATCTCAAGTTTACATGACCTTGTTCTGAAATTGTATATGGCTGTTTGTATAAAACATGCCTTAATTGTTAGATAATTATAAAACAACATCAATAAAGAGACGTTAACGAAGATTTATTTCATCTTAAACTGGCAAATATTCTAATCGTATTGAGCGTCCGTTATAGAATCTGTTGTTTTTTTCTCTCTATTTTATTAACATACGAAATATATTTTGAACAAAGTATAACAAATATTCTGATTAAAACCTTAGAATGAAGATATGGAATTGATTTGGATCTAATTACTTACATTTTCAGATTTTCAGTGAGTTCTAGCATGACTGTATCTAGGGCCTCACATTTCTTCTCTGTAACCTCTCTTATACCAGAAATGGTGTTTTCAGCCAATTCATCAATTCTTTCCTTTTGTTCTGTTTGAAATGCTCGTACTGAATCCTCCGCAGACCTACTGTTTTTAAACAGGTCTTGCTTTGCTTCATTTCCTTGTCGTATTAACTGAATTATAGATTCATTCAAGGCCATTTCAAACCTTTTTTCCTATTCTTTTACATCATATTTTCATGCATGCGTTGCGAAAACTCCTGATAATTGTTTAATGCGTCAAATTCTCACGAATACACGTGACGTATATTTGTCAGATTATACCAATTAATCTTTTCTTCTTGTTATAACGTTGCTGTTGTTCTCGGGTAAAAATAGCATCACCTGTAAAATAGTAGACTTTATTAATATGAATACAGACAATCATTCAAGACTGTACTATGACAATTGTGAAGATGTTAATGTTTGTTTCTAGATATACAATTTTTCCTTAATCTATACCTATATAATGCAAACGAGAAACAAAGGACATTGTCATGTTCCTATAGGTTTAAATCCATTTTGAAAAAAAAAAACAACAAAAAAAAACTATCCATGACGAAAAGGGGAGGAGGGCGACGGTGACAATCACACTTGTTCACATTTTTTGACAATGGCATCGTGATTCAAAAGGACAACGCCAATCGCAAGAGTGACAATTCTTTGAGTAAGGAATTCAACCTGATTTGTTTACAGCACCAATTACAAATGTATAAGATTAAAGAACAGCAAGGGAGAACAAAGTGTATATTTGTACTTATGGCACTATTATGCGAGATACCAGGACCTTGATGAGCAAAGGTAAAGCTGTGAAAGCGGACACAAAAGTGCTTAGTCACATAGCTATAAACTATAAGAAAAAATATGTTTATATTCTATTTTCTTGATTGAATATTTTACGTAATATTACGTATTTCACTAGATTTTCCACGACCTTATATTATATGAAATGGTCCTCCGTAATCCATTGTGGTAGCATAGGCATGTCAGTTCTTGATGGCAATGGAGCCATAATTTGCGTTGCTAGCCTTCATTTTCGACGCCGACAATTCATGCATTTTTCTCAATTTCCCTTGCCGTCACTATCTAGTACTGTAAAGACAACAAAGAAAGTGTAAAGTTCGTTCCACTATGTTTACCTTTTTTTCATGTTTTACTATCAGTTCTGTCACATAATCATTTCGCGGTAATATAATTTGACAACGACAATCATATGGCACACACTCAGCAAATATAAGTCTACCGCATCTTAAACTCAAGTTTGGTTGCTTTGACCTCTCCCATCGCTGTTGAACATTTAGTTGCTTAAAAAGATCACAACGGAATAGTTTATAATTATTTGCAACACACATTTTACAGACCATATTTCTTGTATTCAGGGTTTGTCATTTTAACTGGAAATGTGTGTTCCTGCCAGTTGGATATTTAACAGTTGGATCTGTTGCAAAACCATGTTTTGTTTTTGAATCTATTATCTTATATTCTGTCTCCTGACTGACAAAATCTTTAAACGATAGTGATATTTGTTCTAGCCCTCTTTTGTTAGTATGGCACATCGTGATTCTAAACCAGTTTTTCTTATGTCTTTAAAATGCCACAGCTTACAAGTTTGAAAACTTTTCTAAACTTTTCTTTGCATTTTTCACATTCAGTTGCGGATCTTTTTCTATGTCTATAATATATTTGCCTTTTCTTCTCCTTTCGATCTCAAATCTCCTATCAAGACCATGTTTTGCAGCGTCATAAGTTGCTGCTGAATGCCCAAGATCTTTTACATTATTAAGTGGATTCCCTTTGAGGCATGTCTTAGTTGTAATAACTTCGCAGGTCAGGAATGCACCTTTCCATGTTTCATAACTCTTCATTTAGCTATGGAATTGGTATGACCATAAACTTTTCCTATATCTGGTTTCTATATGTCTGATTCTTAAATTTCTTGTCACTTTCGAACTCATGATATTGTTGTGAAACATTTTGGTATTCCTTTTCAATTTATTTCTTCGACCTCTAAAATTGTAGAGAACATCTCTTTTATTTCTTTTGTTCTTCATACACAATTTGCACAAATTCGCTACAGCTTGAATACTCTAGTACATTGCCAACTCTAGCTTTTCAATCATTTCTTTCATTAATTCTTTATTAGGACCTTTAGCATTCATTTCGTTAACAAATTTATTTTCGTTCTTGTAAATACAGGTTTAGAACGTGAATTTTCTTAATTTCAGTTTTACTATCCCTCATCCGGCCTCATGTCCCTTTATATCCTTTTCTGACTTTTTTGTTTCATTCAATTTTTTAGTCTTATTTTACATCAACAGCAAACATTACACCAGTGCCTACAGCGTTTTTCTAGTATTTTTCGTCTTCAGTTATCTCATTACCACTATATTATAATCATTGTTTTCGTGTACAGTCTCATCTTTCACATATAACATAGCCTTGAGATAAACTCTAGTGGTTTAACAATGGAATGCGAGTATTTGTGAAACTTGTAGAGCTATTATATAACAGTACATATATATCCAACTTATGATGTTTAAACTTTTCACTTTTTAACTTTTAAGCATCTAATGAATCATGAAATGTTTATATAAGCAAAACTAATTTCGATAAAATATATGTCTATCATTTCTATGTGTGTGCGTTTTTAATATAAAATCTTCTGTGCTTTATATTTATTTATTAACATGCATCATTATTTATCAGTTCGGTCAGGCTTCATGTATATACTTAAAATACGTTTAAATTTTAGCATATATAGCATTTATTATTCTCAAAACATAACATAACTTACCTCCTATTGTGTTTAACCTGAGACAGAACATTCACCATATTTCACTGCTTATTTAACAACTTATAAAGTGTTTTGACATGGTTTACATATTTATGTAAGCCAGCAGATAAAATCGTCATATGATCGCATCCTTCAGACGGAACTTCTACTAACGATATTTTAAATCACTTATCAAGTGCAATCAGTATCCAATCGTTTTCATTGCAAGATAGTGCGACTTCGAATTCATTAGATGAATTGTGTTGTGAAAAAAAACATCAAAATCATCACCCTCCCCCCAAAATTGTTTTTCATTTAATTCAGTGATATTCAGTTTAATTACACGTTTTCTTTTTGGCACATAATTTGCTAATCCTTTAACTGTATAAAAAGAATAAAAAACCTCTGTACTGTATTTATTTATTACGTTGTTACCATCTCCTTCAGATTCTACGGTTTACAAAGTTGTTATCATTTCCCGCGGTGACAGGTACTTCCGGATATTGGCGGATATTGCAGCTTCTCGTCTCCTAATATTTAAACAAAGATTATAAAAATTAATTAAGTCACGTATAGTGAGCATGAATCAAAGGATTATCTTATTTCAATACTCCCCGGGGATCTCCCTTGTTCAGATTGCATATTTCAAATGAGCGGGTGTTACGTAATACATGTACTCGGTGGCTAATTAGACACACTGCAAACACAAAGTGAATAAAAGAGATATAACATATTTCAATGAGGAATTTGAAATTTTAAACTAGGTTTGTGGGACCAAGATTTATTATATGCTGATAGCTGTTTGATACAATCGGGTTGAGAATGTTAAATTTGTCTTTCTCCGTCCGTCCATCCGCCAGTCTGTCAGTCAGAACATCCGGATCAATATCTTAATAGAATCTCTCTGTGTTATTTACTTGCAACTTCGCAGGAAAATGTTGTAATAAATAAGAATTGGATAAATATCAAAATCCGCCAAGGGGATATGAGAAATGGTCCTCTGTTACTTAAAACTAAATTTTGAAGGGAAGCCATTTTTTTACATGCACATTAATTGGTTGCTCATCAATTATTGTAAAAAAGTTGAGTTTTTATATTTTAGTTATGGCCATTGTGGCTTAGGGTTGTCTTGCAGCTGCTACAGCTTATGTTTGATCGTAAGATGCGAGTAAATACAACCGTATAACTGGAGTCTATGCATTTCTTAACTGCAACAGGTGAGATGGTTTTGACCTTAGGTATAGTGAGATGATTTTGACCTTATGTTTGAATACATATGCGGAAATTTCTAAATTAAAAAGTCCATCATTGACATGCATGAAAACTGCTTTGCACTCACCACTTTCAGTCCATGAACACACTCAGTCAAACCGAGCCAGCAACATTTTTTTTTTGAAAATAAAAATTACTTACCAATACTTTCTAAAAAGTTAATTGCCTCTGGTGAAGCTTGTGGTGGTGGAATATCTGCCGGTGGAGGTGGAACAATATCTCCGTTATTCATGACAAACAAGGCATTGCTTGAATATACTAGTCGTTAAACCTTTATACATGTTCTTGTGTTGCAGGATTTTATCATCAACGACCGCAAAATCCAAAACGACAAATACCCCCCCCCTCCCCCCTAAAAACAAAGTTCCAACTAGAACTGTGTCCAAAGGACACGGATGCCCCCACTGACAACATATATATGGTATTTAATGAAAAAATCAACAAAGGGCCATAATTCTGTTAAATTATTCCTTCCTTTACTACCACCTACACATTAAGGTTGTTCATCCCTGGAAGTTTAAGCAAAATCTACCATCCGGTTTAAGAGGAGTTGCGTTCACAAAATTTCTATATGGTATATAGTGAAAAAATCAACAAAGGGCCATAATTCTGTTAAATTTGGTCGCAGCAAAAATTCCTTCCTTTACTACCATTTACACATTAAGGTTGTTCATCCCTGAAAGTTTAAGCAAAATCTGCCATCCGGTTTAAGAGGAGTTGCGTTCACAAAATTTCTAAATGGTATATAGTGAAAAAATCAACAAAGGGCCATAATTCTGTTAAATTTGGTCGCAGCAAAAATTCCTTCCTTTACTACCATTTACACATTAAGGTTGTTCATCCCTGAAAGTTTAAGCAAAATCTGCCATCCGGTTTAAGAGGAGTTGCGTTCACAAAATTTCTAAATGGTATATAGTGAAAAAATCAACAAAGGGCCATAATTCTGTTAAATTTGGTCGCAGCAAAAATTCCTTCCTTTACTACCATCTACACATTAAGGTTGTTCATCCCTGGAAGTTTAAGCAAAATCTGCCATCTGGTTTAAGAGGAGTTGCGTTCACAAAATTTCTACATAGTATAAAGTGAAAAAATCAGCAAAGGGCCATAATTCTGTTAAATTTGGTCGCAGCAAAAATTCCTTCCTTTACTACCATCTACATATTAAGGTTGTTCATCCCTGAAAGTTTAAGCAAAATCTGCCATCCGGTTTAAGAGGAGTTGCGTTCACAAGATTTCGGGACGTACGGACAGACGGACGGACGGACGGACATACGGACGGACGGACGGACAGACG